TGAATAGATAGTCATTAGTAATACGGTAATATTATTGATTAAGTGAAATCAGAGTTGGGCTGAAATAGGCCGGTACAGATAAATCGATTTTTTAAAATGAGGAAAAGTCAAATACTAAATGCCACAGTTCATCGAGGAAAACCAGTAAGCTTGTCAAAATTTACTCAAAAATTGAAATTGAACTGTATAGCATGTAGAAGTATCAGTGTTCCTGTTCCATAACAATAGGAATACATCTCAATGTTGTGTCTTCTAACATTCTTCAATACACGAAGATTTCAATACAACATTATCTGCCTTTTAATCTGAAATCGCTTAATGTTATGGATCGAGGAAACGAACCAACATCTTCACCTATATTTCGTTAGCAGTACTATAATGTATTAATGGGAGTATAGTACTTGTTATATACTTCTAAATGGCAGTTTCATATGGCTCTCATTTTCAAGAACGGAAAGTGGGAAACCCAGCAGTTTCTTATAGAAATATAAATAGAGACGCCTTTTCTTTTCAACATTCCGAGATAAAAGAACGCATATTTTCTTCCTGATTTTAGGAACGGAAATGCACTTTGCGTTTTCGTTAAAATGAATCTAATAGGAAGAATAAAAGTTTCCCATACATGGATATTCAAATGATGTATAATCCCATGTATTGTGAAATAATATTAGTAAAAGGCATTCAGAGATGAGAGCACGTTCCTAGAAACTTATGGGATACCGTCGTAACAGAAGGTTAATAAGCTAGGTGCAGTGAAGAGATGTTGCTTATATTGATATTAATTGCTTCACATGGTGTAAATCTTGAATATGGTCAATAGCAGAACAGTTCCATATGGACAGTGCATCTGTCAACAAAAAAAACATTTAGACTTTAATAGTGATCAGTAATTCGAATAAGCGGACAAATAGTATTTTTCTTATGAATTCGAACGCTTTCAAAAAGATTAAGCTTCATAGTGTATAGAAGCAATAATTATATCATGTTCACTCATTCACTCATAAGGCATTACTTTAAATGAATTATTATGAAATCTTTGCCAAGATATCCAAAGTGTAAAACAGTCAGAGTTTAGAAGTCTCACAGTTTATTAGCGATGTCACATTTGTTTATCCTTCCTCGGAATGCCCGTGCCAAGTTCTATTATACAAAACGACAAGCGATGAAGTATTCTAATCTCCATGTATCTTACTATGCTAGCAAACGTCATATGAAATGCATTTTCTTCTTCAGTAACGGTATGAAAAAGAACAGAACGCTGGCTCATTTACATTTCGTTTTTTCTTCAAAGGCTCTATGAATAGAATCTTTTTATTTTATCCTAGATACCCCAAGAGTATTCTCATATTTAAATCAAAGAATAAAGTTTTTACGACACGAAAATCTATTTTCTATGAAGAAAGGGATTAACTTTTTAATAGTATCTGATTTAACTTGAAAGAATATTGCAAAATTAAATAAAAATTCAACAGAAGCTGTGATTCGAAGGGATATACCGACCAGAGTATTTTGATTATGCTAGACCACTTTGATTGCGTCAGAGTACTTTTTTGCAACATGCTCATAATCGAAGATGAACGGATGCTTTGGTTTTAATAAATTTCGTGCGCTGCTTCTTAGAATATATATCCAACTAGTTCGAAGCATTCATGCAATTTTACGACAAGCAAAATTATCTGAAGATGCAGTGTCTTTTTCACCAAAAATGGATAACTAAAATCTTATAGGCAACAAGACCAAAAAATCCATATCATATTTGATTATTCTTAAAAAAACGAATTTTTCTGGAAGAATATTGCACTAGAAAATTTCAATTTTCAACGAGTTTCTGTGCTATCGAATTCTACAATTCCCGAACAGTGTATCGCTTTAAGACAAAATTTTCGAAGTTCGACTACTTTAAGAAGACTATTAACTGTGAAAATATCATCGAAATTGTCAGAGATTCATTTTGTAAGATTTTATTGAAATAGGTCATGGTTTTTATATAATGTATGTTAGGGAGTGAATTTCACTATTTAAGTGTGGTTATTGCTATTTCATTCTAATAGCACAAAAACATACATCCTCAAATTAACAATACCGAATCGTACAGCAAAATTTAGGCTAGCCTATGAGAGTTTAAGGGCTGGTCTTCTGTTCACTCTTCCTAAATGTGCCCCTGCGCCATTCAGTCAGATTGGGTACATTTTGAATACATTTTGCTAACTTGCTAAGCTTATGTGTACTCTTTGTTCATGTATGATATTATCTAACTAGATTAGATGTTTCTGATTAACATTACATTAAAACTACCGATTAGTTTATGGGATTGAAAATAAATTCTAACTTCTCAACTACTCAGCTAATGTAACTTATAACTTGCATTACTTACTTGTTGAGATTAATTCAAGTGAAGCTAAACTAAAATTGATATATTTAACTCATAAAATATTTATGTAAGAGAATGACATACTATTTGCACAAGACTTGTTGTTTCATAGGAAACGAAAAGCAACTGAGTATGATTTATAAAGCATAAAAAGTTGTCAGATTATGATATTATTTTAGATTTATTGATAGAAGGATGAAACAATCGTTAAAAACAATGAAAATTGGTGTTCTTATATCATCTTATGAGGGTAGCAACTCTTGTTTTGAAAAATACGATCAATATCAAGATCCATCCAAATATATCACAAAACATAACTTTCAATTACGATTTATTACTAAGGCTGATGCCAAAAAGCAGTTAGACGATATAAAAAAAGAAAATTTCGATATGCTCATTAATTTTTTGTGGGGTCAACATTATGACAAAGTTGCCGGTATAGATGCAATTGCTTATGCGGAAACTCTAGGAATACCGATCATCGGAACCAGTAGCCGATTCTTATCTCTATCAAAAATAGATTTTAAACTGGCTGCATCAAAATATAACATTCTTACTCCTAGATATAATGTCATTAAATCTGCTGATGATATTGTTACGTTAGAGAAATTTCCTGTAATTGTGAAGATGGCAAGAGCATGCGGCAGCTTGCATAAGACTGAAACATCTGTTTGTCATGACCCAAGCACTTTAAAGATTGAAATCGATAAACTATTGAAAATTGCTGAATGTGAAATATTGGTTGAAGAATATATATATGGCCGTGAATATTCAGTAATGGTGATTGAGAATAGCGATGGTATTTATGCACTTACTCCTATCATATATCATTTTCCCAAGCATTTTACACCCGAAGAACAGTTTTTACGCTTCGATAATAAATTCGAGTTGGTTGATAGTGGAGAAATCACATTCGAATTAGTTCATGCAGCAGATCCGTTAACGAATCGTATGAAAGAAATCGCATGCAAATCATTTAATGCACTCCATGTATATGGCAGTGGATACGCACGGATGGATTTAAGAGTTGATGATAAAAATAATATATTCGTTTTGGAAGTTAATCCCACGTCTGCATTTTTTTCTTCAATTGGAAATACTTTTGGCGATGATTACGTGATATCACGATGCTTTGAAGGTGGCCATGAAGCACTTATGGATCAACTTATTAAGACGAAATTAAAACAAATTGGCATTACCCATTTCTATGACAATTTTGCAGGCAACTACAATAGACTTAGTGAATCCGATATGTACAAAATGTTTAAAGAGATTTGTAAAGAATATGATTATAGCGGAGATATTTTAGACCTTGGTTGTGGTACTGGACTTTTAGCGAAAATCATCCTAGATTGTGGACACAGTTCGAATTTTACTGGTGTTGACCTTTCACATAAGATGACCGAACAAACCACATTATATTCAAAGATATACATAGGTCCGATGGAAAATATAATATACAATATTGATGATAGAAAATTTGATCACATAATCAGTTATGGTTGTCTTCTTTTCTTAAATAATGCAGTTTTTAAAGAGACGCTAAGTCGTATGTTTGAAATAGCCAAACGATCAATAACCATCACTGTTGAAGAAATACCTGATGAATATAACGAAATTCTCATAAAGAAGGGACATGAAACTATTTACAGTTATAACAACAAGTGTGTAATCGATGGTTTCGACGTTCCCGATCAATGGGTTCTTGCTTATAGTAAAAGAGGTCATATGTGGAGCTCTCCCCTTACTGGTGTTGACATTTATGGTTCGGTTATTCGTTTCGAAAACTGCTCGAAGAAAATAACATAAAGACAACCACATTGTTTTCATTCAATGTAGACAGTGGCTGGCATTCGTAATCTTTAGTATAAATTGATTACATATTAAAATCAATCATATTTTTTACTTAAAATGCATTTGAAATTGATCTAAACATATTTTTAAAGTTTTGGGCATTCATGATAAGAAAAATAAATGAACTTACTAAGGAGCTAACGAAAAAAAATTGATCGCCGCTGATTATTCTTGCGTGTGGATGTGAGTGGTTGAAGTCCTGAATCCACCAAAATGCACACAATCACATTTATACCCACCCTAACACACTCCCAATCACACCCAGCCACATATTTAGCTGAACTTTTAGATTAAAATTAAATTATATTTTATCAGACTTATTCTCGCAAGGGTGTGGGTGTGGGTATGGGTGTGGGTGGGTGTGGATGTGCACATTAGTTGAATAGACACATCTGCATCTACAGCCACACCCACACCTAGCCATCCACACCCACATCCCACACCCACACTCACACCCGTACCCCACACCCACACCCCACACCCACACTCACCCCACATCCACACCCACCCCACATCCACACCCCACACCCACACACACACCCTTAGTACAATGTCCAAGTTCTTTATTTAATACATGATGATATTTTTGTAACATTAAATGAAGTTTTGAATCATTAAAAATCCTATTGATATGTTGTTGATCAGAATTTTGTTCGTGAATAATACAAGTTAAATCAAGTTGCATTTTCTTGATCCATTGAACACCAAGAAGAGGTGGATTCGTCCCATAAACAATTATCATTGATAAATTATAATTTTTATTTTTGTATTGTACTTAAACATTACATTCACCTTTAGTTTTGAGAAAATTACCACTGTGACATTTTAATTGTAAATTAGATGGACTAATAATAGGTGAACCAATTTTATACCAATCTTCCATACTAATAATTGTATTAAATGTTCCAGTATCAAGTTCAAAGGTAAAATCATAATCATTAATTTTTAATGAAACTGTAGATGAATGTGTAATTGATTGTTTTGGTTGATTGGAAAAGTTGACTTTATAAATTGTCGTAATATGTTTTGTCGAAATATTTTCATTTTTCTTTTGTCGACATGCTTTTTCTAAATGACGTTTTTTTTACAAAAATTACAAGTAAACTCACGATATTTGCATTTGGATCGAAGATGTTGCTTTGAACCACATGTTTGACATAGTTTATATTCATTTTTTGTGAATGAATTACGTTGTTGTTGTTTGTATTGTTTTGGTTGATGGCTGTGAAGCTTCGCGACTGTATAATCAGCAAGATTAATTGGATTACCGAAATGAAGAACACCTTCTTCTAATCGTTCAGCTAATTGAATAATTTTTTCTGTTATTTCTAAATCAGGATCTTGTTCCTTCAGTAATGCTTGACGAATTTTTTGACTTTTAATTTCAATAACATACATGTCATGAAGTGCAGGATCTTGTGGTTTATTTTTTAAAGCAGATGTAGTAAAACCGCAATGTCGAAGTTTTTCACATAATTGAGCTTTCCATTCAGCAAATGCTTGTCCTGATTTTTGATAACATGAATAAAAATCATATGTTGATGTCATAATGGTTTTTGTTGCATCATAAAGAACATCTAATAATTTAATTAAATCAGTGAATTTGGTAGCATCACTAGTTAATGATTGTGATGAAACTAATGATTCAAGTAAATTATATGTATTGTCACCAACAGACCATAAAAATAAATCTTTTTTATCTCCATCATTATCAATACGATTTGCCTTGAAGTAAAAATGAATTCGATCACGATACTATTGCCAGGAACAGGTATGACAATCAAAAGCATGAAGTGCAGGAATTGAAGACATTGTTGGTGATTGAAATGTTGATGTTAGCGTTGACTTATCCATGAAGAATAATTATATTCCACGAATGTAATTGAAGAGTCAGGTGAAGCGAAGAAAAAAACGTGTGGTGAATGTGAATAACGAAGAGTTAGAAGGAAAACTCTCGTCACCAATGTAAGTTTGTTCTGTAAGTTGAGCGAGAGTTCGAAATGTTTATTTCGAGTTATGAAACAATTCGAAATAACAAACTACTATGTATTTCAAAACAATAGAAAAAATACCAACAACAGAAAACTATCTATATAGTGTATATATATATATTACGTATTGATGAATATAATACGTAATAGAAAATACAGTTGCGCCATTGAATACTACGCAATAAAAAAATATGATCACTTAAAGAAAACAGCAAGGTCACTACTAAAGTTTTTTTGACCTTGAGAACAGAAACGAATATAGAAAAAAAAGAATGAACAATTTTTCAATCATGGAAAAGAACGAAAGAAATACACATATACAGAAAGAGAACGAGAAAACAAACAAACATATATTCTTTTTTTTATATAGCACAAATATTTACAATTATCATTTCTACTGTTACCATTGTTATTGTTGTTGCAGCGACACTCTCATAATGCTTTCAATTTCACGGAATCACATTTCGTAGATTCTACTCTCAAGACAACTATTCTGATATTTGTTACATTCGAAACGCATAACCTTTGTTCTCTTACTTACTTTTACTTCGAAAGAAAAAAAACGTACGATCGTAATTTTTTACTTTGCTTCACCTTTTGTTTACACAAGCTCGTTATTCATCTCAACGTGCCGTTTGTACAAAGCAATCAAATAACGATTTCATCTAATTGCAGGTAAGAAATTCATTTATAGATGAAATTGGATCCTCTGCTGTGAAGATTAAGCATTTACTCAAGCCGAAAATTAGGTTAAGATTAATAATTCAGAGAATAGTAGAAAATCTTATTAATATTCTAAAGACGAAAATAAAATTTTTCTTCTTTCCGATCAGAACAAGAATATTTGAAAACTTAAACTTATATCTCTTTGTACAGTCACTGTTAAGTTTTTCATCTTTAATCTATGAAAGTATAAATCAAATAACATTGGAAAGATGTAAAAAAATCTTAACATTTACCATTGACTACTTTTGTGAGTATGATTAAATCATTTTAAAATCATAGATAGAGCTTTCGAATATTTTGTCATGAAAATTACTTTTGTTTTTTTTCAATTTATATGTCTTAAACAGCATATCTAGTCGAGCCTTGGGTGGGTGTGTGGGTGTGGGTGTGGGCGTGGGTATTCATGGAGATATACACTCACGCCCACATCCCACACCCACACCCACACCAAGAAAATACCAGAAATATTCTAATAAAACAATCTGTTTTTAAAATTTCCGAGACGGAGAATAAAATAGTTCTGCAGTTTCAAGTGGCACGTCACGTAAAACAACGATGGGCTTGATGAGCTGGATGAATATAATCCGTATCATTTTTCAACTTAGAAAAAATATGTATTTTGCAATTCTAGAGGAGCCAACATTTACATTAGAACATATAGTCAATTGGTGAATAATTTCTTTAAACGGATGAAATCATCGCTATAAAAACGATATTTTCATCTAAGAAACGTGAAGTATGATCTTGTAGCATCATACAAGATCTTACGAAGTTCCGAATGTCAGATTTTGTAAGAATCTTACAGCAAGAATCATGTAAGATTTAATCTAGCATCTTATGATAGAAAACATAAGAAATTTTATAATAAGATATCTGTTGGATTTCGGAAGATCATATAATCTGAATCTTACAAAATCTGATTGTCAGTAGGATCTTGTAAGATCTTACATGATCTTCGTACGATTTTCCCACCTGGGAAGTTTCACTTCGTAGTGATCAGAGATATGTGTTGATGCCTATTCCTCGATTTCCTCTAGTTATATTCCTATAGATTATATGTGTCCTAGTCCCAGTTTAGCTGGATGCACATTTAGGATGTTTGTACTAATGTCTGGCGATCCATGTTTTATGCTTACTAACCATCATTTTCACTGGTATAAACCAAATCTAGTTTTTAACTAGTAAACTGATGTCCAGTCGAACCGATGAACCTTTTCTATTGTTTCTCGGTGAGTTGGTGCCAATCGTTGACGTTAGAGAACGTTTATCGGTCTCCATTATAATTGATCGGTAAACAACTTGTACGATTGGAAGTGATTGAGTTGAGAATCGTTTTACCACTCAGTCGTTTTAGACTGAATAATATTAATTATATAGATGTTACTGTTGCATCTGCTACCGTGTATACATATTACTTTTAGAGTAATGGCTTCATCAAATTGTAATTCAGGACGCTCAACAGGTGCAGGTATGTGTTTTTTTCTCAGGTGTAAAGTGTATTTTTACGATAAGGACTTCAGATATCATCGTGAAATTATACACAACGAATTAGTTGAATGCACAGTAGATTGAAATGATCCTATAAGAAAAACTAAATAAGGTCATCTCAAACAGACACTCTAACAAAATGTCTCAAACACGCATCACTTGTTCAAGTTTTCTGCTTTATTATCGAGAAAACCATAGCATGCTACGGCTGGTAATAAAGATATTTGGATCAGTTTTTCTCTTGTTTGAAAAGTACATCATTTTGATAAAAGCAACCATTCTACTATCGATAGACGTCTTCAAGTCGACAGTTTTCTCGTAAAAAAACAAATCCAGATCAAAAAGTGATGGTAAGCGCTTGTAAGTTCAGACTGTCTGACCTGCGCCAGTAGTGTTCAGTCTTCTAAAATAGAAATTATCGAAAATTTCAAGCATTTGTGTTCTGAAGTTTTTGGTACTGCCCAAAATGAGATAGTTTCCGAAAAATTTGGATGACTGTTAAGTCATGCAACTACTATTACATGGTCACAAATCGGAATCCTTCTTATAGAAATCTTTTTATCACGAATTCTCTGATATTTTAACAAGACTTGGAAAATTTCTATTTGCCAATCTAAACAAAAACCTAAAGAGTTGTATGCGTGCTTTATTCCCGTTCATTGCAGGGTAACTTACTGCATGATTCGACATAAGTTCTATCGTGTTTACTCTTTTAACATAGTATCCGCAATCGATTTCATATGGTTCTTTGTAGAAAAAGTCAATAATAATATCATTTTTTACTAATAAGATACTGTAATAAACCTCTTTATTTTAAAGAACAACTGCCAAATAAAAAAACTGTTGGGACGACACTTGAGTGTGGTGGTCACAGTTGTAAAAAATGTGGCAAATGTAGTGATTGGTATGGTGATATTTGGGATGATGATTCGAGTCCTTCTAATTGGGACACCAATACTTGGCAGCTTCGTGATGATGGTACTTGCAAATGGAGCATTGATTATAGTCTTTGGGATACTGGTGCTGGTTTTAATTATATGCGTTGGGGTCATCATATATGTCGCTGTAACGAGAACAAGTAAAATAAACTTGATCATCGGACTACAATTTTTTTTCTCATAAAATATTATGGTATTTTTCTTTTAACCCTTTGGGGACCGTGGACGTATATATACGTCCTGCGTATTTAACTAAGGGAAAAGCCTTAAATACGCTAAAACTAGGTTTTTTTAATATGGCTTTTTATTCTAACATGCATGGTACACATATAGACGCTATGTAATAGTTTAAGCTCAGGACATACATATATAGCTCAGTAATTCCATCATCGATAATTGTACATGCTAGGTCATCTATCATAAGACATTATTATTGGTTTGTATGGGATCCATTATTGCATTTATAATTCTAAAATCATATAGCCACATTATAAATACTGGGTATTTTTATAATAAATAGTAAAAAGTATTATTCAAAACCAAATTCTAAAGCACAAGATAACTATTCAAGTATTTGTAACGAATCTTACTGACTCTATTGGAATTGTTCTTTCATCTTGAAATATTTTCCACATTATGATGGCATCTGCTAGTGAATGTGATTTAGACATGACTGAAACCTTCACAGATGACTCAACAAATACTGATTCAATTTCCGACTTTAATAGCTGGTCGAGTAGTGACAGTGAACAAGAAGAAGACCAGGAGAGTGAATTAGATAGTGGGGAAGAGGAAGAAGAAGAGGTACAAGATATGGAAGAATTTTTTGAAGGAAGAACATGGAGAACTGATCGGTTCAAACCAAAACGGTTTATATTTGAATCAAATAATTCTGGTATCAGTTCCAATTTACCAAAAATTGATGAAAATAGTTCATTGGATTATTTTCGTTTAATATTTGACAATCTGTTGATGGAAAAAGTTGTTGAAGAGACGAACAGATATAATTTATATCTAATGCAAAAGAAAAATTTATCTCAAAGACGCATAAAAGCAATTGAAACTACAGTATCCGAAATGTTTACCTTTTTTGCATTTTATATGCTAATGTCTCATACAAGAAAAAGTCGAATAAAAGATTATTGGTCCACTGAATCATTGATCTCAACACCCATATTTGGAAGTATTATGAGTAGGAACAGATTTCTTTTACTTTTACGATTCCTTCACTTCAATGACAATGAACATCAAGTAACTAACGATAAATTATACAAAATAAAACCGATCATTAATTATCTGCGTGAACGATTTGGTCAAATTTTAGTTCCTTATCAGAATTTATGCGTTGACGAGAGCTTGATATTGTGGAAGGGTCGTCTTAGCTTCAAGCAATATATTCCATCTAAAAGAAGTAGATTTGGAATTAAACTTTATTTATTGTGTGATGTAACTACTGGAATTGTCCTAGACTTCATTGTTTATACAGGAGCTACTACTGATATCGAAAGATTTCCCACTATTGGTATTTCTGGTTCAATCGTAATGACTTTATTACAACCTTACTTAGACAAAGGTCACAATCTATTCGTAGATAGTTGGTTTACAAGTGTTAGTCTTTTTGAGAAACTATTTGAAAGATCAACTGGTGCGTGTGGAACTGTTAGAAAAGATAGATTAGGTTTACCTGAATTTGAAGCTAAAATTGAAAAAGGTGAACAAATTTATAGAAATACAAACAACATGCTAGTCTTGAAATGGCATGATAAAAGGGACGTTATAATGTTAACAACTATTCATGAACCTCAAATGAAATATACCAAAAGAAGTAACACAACAATTCAAAAACCAGCTTCAGTAATTGATTATAATTCTAATATTCACACGATTGATAAAGCTGATATGCAAATTAGTTTGGTCGTATATTTAAGAAAATCTATAAAATGGTACAGAAAATTATTTTTTTATATGCTTGATTTATCAGTCTACAACTCATATTTACTTTATAAAATCAATACCAAAAAGAAAAGAAAATTTGTTGATTATCGTTTACAGCTTATTCGTGAAATCTTACAAACTTATAGTGTTCCAAAACCTACGATAGGTCGACCTGCACTGACTAATCTACCAACCAGACTTACTGGTAGACATTTTCCATCTCTTATACCTCAAACAACAAACAAGGAAAATCCTCAGAGAAAATGTGTTGTATGTGCACACACTGATCGAAGACCAAGAAGAAGGACTGATTCACGTTATATCTGTGAAGACTGTGATGTAGCTCTTTGCGTTGTTGGTTGTTTCGAAGAATTTCATACTTTATTACATTTTTAGTTTTCTTTTGGTATTTACTTTCCTTCTCATATGTTATTAAATTTGCTTGGTATGCTTCTTCGATGTGTGTTTATTTCTCTTGTTTCTAAATAAACACTGCATCTTTTGAATTATTTCTGGATGAAAAAAGTGTGTTTTATAGCCCTACAGTCGGAAATCTAATTTTTTTCTATAAAAAAAAAGTCGGCCCCCAAAGGGTTAATTTGGGATAAAATTACGGAAAATATAAAAAGTTCATGATCGATTTTATCTCAGCTATTGTTCTCTGACAGAAGAGACCATTGTCTAATCGGATTTCTTATTTGTTAAGAAAGTCTAGCAAGATCTTGTTTTTTGAGAATACAGAATCGTATCAAAATTTTCTCAAGATCATATTCAAGATCCTCTTACGGTTATGCGAGATGATTTTATCAAGATTTTATCAGGTTCTGGTTAGAATATAAGTCAAATATTCATGATGACAACGAACTTCATCAAAAACGCGGCCCGAAAGATATAAAGAGTGCCTTCCTTTTGTCGTTCCCTTTCACTTGAGTAACCAAGATACTTTAGGTAACTATTGATTTCGTCTATATGTTTTTGTCTAATTTTTATCTGCTTTCTTTTTCGACATATTCTGGAAATAACAAGGTTTATTAAATTCTGGCGCTATTATTAGTTGTTTACTCTAACTCATTGTACATCAGAAATATAAGAATGTATTTTTTTTTCCTAGTCATTCTAATAGGCTTTTTTAGTTGAGTATATCGACTCAAAAGAATTGAACTGCGTTTGACAGATGGAATATTTGTTTTTATCGCAGATTCATTTAAGTGTTAATTTTTCATGTTTCAGTCATGTAATGGGTAGTGGGAAAATTTTTCTACAACTTTACTCGATCGGTAAAAGTTTTCTATATGAATGAGCGCTTCTGAAAAACCAGCTCAGAGAAAATCATGTTGGACCCTCAAGACATAAAGTCCCCGACAGATTAGAAGACCCGGGGTCTTCTATTCTGTCTGATGGTTTACAAATTTTTAGGGGGTCTTCTATTATGTCCTCATAAAATCCTTGTAATTTAGTATTCTGCGCGCTCGTTTGCATTTCCAATGATTACCTAATTAAGATATCATCACTAATTTTATTAATTTATTTTCTTTCAAGGTGATACAATCAGGAATATAATATATACATCATATACATAAAACACTAGTTCAATACAAGAATTATTTTCTTTACAGTGTCATAGATCACACAAGAAGCGCAGTATATAGAAAATTATATGGCTATTCTTTTCATACAAAAAAAAAAAATCAATAACCAAAAATCTTTTCGTTTCATACAATTAAACAAAAAAAGCAAAATAAAGTCTTTATTTTTTCCAGAAGTGTTTCAAAGTCAATTGCTTGTGCTGATTTTTTGTTAAAATAGAACTATTATGTTCAGATGGAACTGAATCACAGTTCTGTTCATTTACTTCATCTTCATTTAATTCGATGCAATCTGGATCAAATGTATACCATGGTATATGATTTGGTTTAATCAGAGAATCGTCGACCCAAGTATAGCCGAGAGATCGAAACGCTTCTGGAAAGTTGGTCGATTTCAATGTACGAGCCCAAGCTGAAGCTGTGAGTCGTGTGCATAAAATACGCTTTTTGGAAGCAGATAATTTTAGTTTTGAACGAGGACCATTCAATTCCAAATATTCTTCAGCACAGTCGTAGTAATGATTTTTAAATGTAGCAAATACATGTACATCCAGTAATTGAATATACTGGGTACATCCAGTTGGAATAATTGCCATACTTATTCCTTCATCTCTCATTCTTTTTTTCAAATTTTCATTCAAATGGCTAGTACAACTGTCTGTAATAAACAATTTACGATTACCATCTTTTACTTTTTTCAACCACCAAGTAATGTATTTTTCCAAAGTTGGCATATTAATGAATGCTTTTGGAGTAAAAAAAACTTTTACATTAGGTGAATAATGTTTTTCTTCTGAAGAAGAAACTTTTCCTGTACCTCGAAACAATAGCACAGGTTCTACTCGATGATTTCTTTCTGGAAATACACATAACATAATAGTAGCAAAACGCTTATTTTCAAAACATCCTTCGATTTCATTTCTTGTGTTGATGTCATTTATAGAACGTCTCGATTGATCTCCCCAGAGACTTAATGGTGATTCATCCATATTACAGATATCAGATTCTACAAAGCAACCCATGGGACCTCTTTTTGGACCCCATTGACTACATTTTCGTAGATAAGAATGAAATTTGTTAATAGAAATATGAGCCTCTGAAAGAGAAATCTTTTGCTTTCGAACAGGTTTTTGTAATGATAAACGATGTCGTTTTAAAAATCTTGTAAACCATTTATTTGATGGTTGATTGGTTTTAAGCTCACTACAAATTCTGTAACCTTCTCTAACCATTCCTTTGAATGTCACTTTTTCTTTACTTACGTTTACATCAGCTTGATTCAATCCACGTTTCGATCTATACCATCTGATCAGACGATCATCCAAATTAGCATAACTTAACTTAGCACCACCTCCATCCAAACGTTTACGTTTTTTTCCTTTTCCACCTTGATCTTTTACTAATTTAATCAATTTATTTTCGTTATTTTTCCAATCACGAATCATCTTTCGTGTACATTTGTATCGTAATTCAAGTGCGTGAAGTGACACACCTTTATTCAATTCAGAAATAATTTTTAATTTCTCTTGTGCATTCCATTGTCGTCGTTTTTGATGCACTGAGATGGTTGTAGCATCTTTATTTGAAGAAGATGAAACTTGAATAGAAGGATTGATGTTGTTAATATTGGTAGAAAATGATTGAACGTCGGTGATTGGTATTATAATATTATTTGTCGTAGTAATTGAACTTTCAATTTCATCTTCACTAGAATTATTGTCATGTTCGAGATTGAGTCGAATAAAATCATCATTGATATAATTTGTATCATTAACTTCGATATCAGAATCAACTGATATGCTGTCTGAATCAGACTTTTGATCGACGTTGTCATCATCGAAAGACAATGGTAGCAAATGAGAATTCATAATGGAATCACCATCCATAATATGTTGTATGTGTAGCTTTATTGAAAAAAACGATGGAAGTGTTACTTTTTCGTGACGTAAAGAATTGTAAATGATTGAAGAATGACTATTATAAGACGATATTCTCTTCTTTTTTTTCTATATTATATATACGTCCGTCTGCTAGAGAATAGACACATATACTCATACATTGGTAATAGTTGTTTCATTCAATCAATGGCCGATATATATATATGTCAGCGACAGAAAGGAAAAAAAGAATTACTATTGACCAGCGTAAAAAAACATTCCAAGATCTATACAATGAAAAAAATACAAAAATTTTGAAAAAAATCAGTCATCATAGGGGGTCTTCTAATCTGTCTTGTGTCTCGTTGTCTCCAGGGGGGTCTTCTATTAAGGGGGGTCTTCTATTATAGGGGGGTCTTCTAATGTGTCGAGGGGTTTAGAAGAAAAAAACCTGCTGGAATCTTATTGGTTGCGACGGAGAAACTTCTAGCCAAGCAGATTTCAAAAAAACATTTTCTCTACTTTTCTTAGGCAAGATATGGTGTTGTGTTGGCCCATTAGAAGATTGCCAGAGTCAGCTTTTTCATATCACGCGAACAACCTCATGTTTTGTTATGAAAATAGCTGAGAGAAAGCCTCCCGAAAAAATAACCCTTTCCTAGTAAGAATGTCAAATCTATGAAATTCAAAATGTTCGATGATTTGGGTTTATCGACCTCGAAAATCTTTGATCGAATTTTGTGTCAAATATCATTAGCTTTCGAAGGATAATCTTTCTTTTTTACTCAGGTCGATCAAAACACATATTATTCACCGGGCCGTTCTGGAAGAGCTAACAATGAAGAAAACGCTAGCTTGCGGCCCTAAACAGTGTCAATACGTACTGTAAACAATGCGCTGCATATGAAAAATGGTCGGTTTCCCTAAATCTATCGCCTTTTACCCGTGTACGGCCATATACGGACCGTATCATTCGATAAGGAGCATTGCCAATAGACGCGTAATAGAGTCGCGTTAGAGTTTTTCTTGAAAAATTTTAGATACCAAAACAGCGATGATGATCGTCATTTGTCTACTGTACGTAGGTAATTCTACAGAGAACCAGTAACATAGAAGGGTGTTGAATGAGTCATATATCAACAGTCTTTTTTCTTTCTTTTACATTTACTTTAGCTGCTTAAATGACATGATTTATATTGGTTTACTTTACCTTGGTGTTTTCTCCCTGTAAAACAACCTTGTTTATCGAAGTTATCATTATTGGCAGTAGGTAATAGAAGTTTAAGAAAGAAGCGAATAACTGCAACGAATAGCATTGTACTGAATTAGTCAGTGACAAATCATTTGATTCAAGCTTTCGTTCCTCTCTGGGAGCATCATTAGGAATGATTTATTAGATTCAAAGCTAATGAAGACAACAACAACAATAGCAATAGCAATTCTACATCAATAACCACAATAACAGTAGCAATTTTGGATCCATAACAGCAATAATCAGAGCAATTGGAACTTTTTAACTATCCGAAGACTTTCAGCGTTTGCTTCGTATCGTTCAGTACCTTGCCGAATGTTTTATAGGGGTGGAATATTTACTTTACTTTTTAATTACTTTACCAAAGTCAAGTAACTATTTTAGTTACTTAGTTACTACTAAATAGTAACTACTGTAGCTACTTATTTACTTGTAAATGGTAACTACGGTAGTTACTTATTGCCTCAACTGGATGAGGGTCATATGAAATATAATGCGTTTGTTTGTGGGTAGGTGTTAAGGTCAAAGGCCAAAGGTCAAAAAAACCTTTGCTTAGAAACCGATGGTCGTGTTTACAATATCAGCCTTTCAACCAATCAGATTTTGTCATGGTAAAAGTCCAGCCAATCATAGGTTTTCAATATCGAGCTTTTGACCAATCAGAGTTTTTCAAGCTACAAA